AATGCGTGCGCGGCATTCAACATGCGCTCGCCAGTTCCCGTCGGCAACCGCCATCGCGGCCGCATCAGCTGTACCAAACCGGCTGGCCGGTGTGACTTCGGTCCCCAGTTGTGCCAGCTTTGCTTCTTATGTTGTGGGAGGGCGGGTGGGACTGGGCATGCCATGCTTGACTCGCTCGAGCTGGCTAGCTTGACTCCTACTCCTACTCCTACTACTACTACTACTGCTACTACTACTACTACTGCTACTACTACTGCTACTACTGCTACTGACTACTACTACTACTACTACTACTACTACTACTACTACTACTACTACTACTACTACTACTACTACTACTACTACTACTACTATTACTACTACTACTACTACTACTACTACTACTACTACTACTACTACTACTACTACTACTACTACTACTACTACTACTACTACTACTACTACTACTACTACTACTACTACTACTACTACTACTACTACTACTACTACTACTACTACTACTACTACTACTACTACTACTAGCACTACCACTAGTAGTACAAGTACTACTGCCGCTGCCGCAATGCCAATACTTACAAACCCCCTCGCCAAAGGCCCTACAGCCTCTTCACTTCTCCTGCTCCAGCCCTGCTCCTCCGCAGAGCGCGCAGGCCTGTCGAGCACGGGGTCGATCCTGCGACGGGGCGGATGCTGCTACAGCTTCTACAGCTGCTGCCAGCGCGCTTCCGGTCAGCTGGCCCGGCTCGTTGTGCTGCGGCTGCGGCGCCTCTGGCCGGGCGGGCCTGCCGTGGTGCGGCGCCCGCGGTGGCGGCAGGCCGCCGAGACCTGCGTCCGAGGGGGGCATGGCTACCAGCCTTCTCCAGAAGCGGGTCGGCATGCGACGACGGCGATGGAGACGGCGGCGACGGAAGCGGGGGGCCCTCAGATCAAGGCGACACCCAAAAGGTCGTGACGACAACTCTTGCGTAAGTCTCAGCTTCTGGAGGCCATTTCCCAGCCCCAGGACCGTCGAGAACGACTCAGGATGAAAAGCCGGTCCCAGGGAAGAGGCCTGGAGCAGGGACCAACCGCCCAAGCAGTCCAAGAAGCCGAAGACGTAATATTCATAAGAACAGAAAGCGTTCTCAAAACAAGAACAATGCGCTTAGAACATGATGTCAATGCACTAAGGCAAAATTGCCTGAACCAGACTTGCTCTAAAAACATGCCGTGCAAACGAAAAAACGTCTTTCTAATTTCAAGGCGAAACTGCTGTCATGAGAATATTGGCTCAGGATGCAGTCCAGAATTTCTTGCATATCTAGCGGCCTTCACCTCTGCAGCATGTGTGGAACATTCGGATATTTGGGAAATCTTGGAAACCTCGGAGATCTCAGAAAGTATCATTACCAGAAGTCAGAGTGAGGGGGCCGAACGGTCATTCACTTTCCCTGGGTGCGTGGCTGAAGAAGAATTCCGCGGTGCGGATTCGTGTTGTTGTTTGTTGTTTTTTATTGTCGTCGTCCCACCCGCAACCCGCCCCGCGACCCACCCGCGACCCACCCCGCGACCCACCCCGCGACCCACCCGCGACCCACCCGCGACCCACCCGCGACCTACCCCGCGACCCACCCCGCGACCCACCCCGCGGCCCACCCCGCGACCCGCCCGCGACCCACCCCGCGACCCGCCCGTGGCCCACCCCGCGACCCACCCGCGACCCACCCGCGACCCACCCGCGACCCACCCCGCGACCCACCTTCGACCCAAACCACGTTCAAGGTACAAACCACCATTTCCGTCGCCTGCGGCGGGCTGTTTTTGCATTCCTTCCAGGTGGAGAGCCCGCGACCCACCCCGTGACCAATTTGCGACCAACCCGCGACCCAAACCACGCTCAGGGTACAAACCACATTTTTCGGCGCCTGCGGCGGGCATCTTTTGCAGTCGTTTCAAGTGAATTGCCCGCGGCCCACCCGCGACCACGTTAAGGGTCAGAGTGAGGGGGCCGAACGGTCATTCACTGTCCTTGGGTGCGTGCTGAAATGGAATTCCGCGGTGCGGATTCGTGTTGATGTTTGTTGTTGTTTGTTGTCGTCCCACCCGCAACCCGCCCCGCGACCCACCCGCGACCCAATCCGCGACCCACCCCGCGACCCACCCGCGACCCACCCGCGACCCACCCGCGATCCACCCCGCGACCCACCCCGCGACCCACCCCGCGGCCCACCCTGCGACCCACCCGCGACCCACCCCGCGCCCCACCCGCGGCCCACCTCGCGACCCACCCGCGACCCACCCGCGACCCACCCGCGACCCACCCGCGACCCACCCGCGACCCACCCGCGACCCACCCCGCGACCCACCCGCGACCCACCTTCAACACAAACAACGTTCAAGGTACAAACCACAATTTCCGGCGCCTGCGGCAGGTTTTTTTGCATTCCTTCCAGGTGGAGAGCCCGCGACCCACCCCGTGACAAATTTGCGACCAACTCGCGACCCAAACCACGCTCAGGGTACAAACCACATTTTTCGGCGCCTGCGGCGGGCATCTTTTGCAGTCGTTTCAAGTGGAGTGTCCGCGGCCCACCCGCGACCACGTTCAGGGTACAAACCAAATGTTTCGGCGCGGGCGGCGGGCATCTTTTGCATTCGCTCCCAGTGGAGAACCCGCGGCCCACCCGCGACCCAAACCACATTCAGTGTACAAACCATTTTTTGTTGGCGCCTGCGGCGGGCTGCTTTTGCATTCCTTCCAGGTGGAGGTGGGGAGCCCGCGACCCACCCGCGACCCAAACCACGTTCACTGAACAAACCAATGCCGAGGGGGAGGAGGGGAAGGAGGAGGGGGAGGAGGGGGAGGAGGGGGAGGAGGAGGACGAGGAGGGGGAGGAGGATGATGATGGACGACAATGGGAGGACGATGATGGAGGCCGATGAGGGGGAGGACGACAATGGGAGGACGATGATGAAAGGACGAGGGGGGGAGAGGGAGGACGAGGAAAAAGAGGAGGAGGACGAGGTGGAGGAGGAGGACGATGACGATGAGGACGAGGACGAGGACGAGGAGGAGGAGGAGGAGGAGGAGGAGGAGGAGGAGGAGGAGGAGGAGAGCGCCATCGACAGGGAAGGTGGGGGCCACGAGGTCCGCCGGCTCGACGACGCCCGCGTCGCCCGCGCCCGCCGCCTCACTCCTATCCGCAATTGCGGGGTGCTACGTATCATTATCATGACCTCTTACTCCTCTCATTATTTAGTGAGCTTATGGGCAAGCCAGGGCGCCTCGCCACTGCTCGGAAGCCGAGGTTCCGAGGGCCCCGCGCGAGGACAAAACATCGGGCCGTCGGAGAAGAGGGGGGGCGGCGGCCGCGGCGGAGGGGGGATTACGCGCGGCCCTGCGCGGGCACATCCCTGCGCGCGAGCGTCGGCGCAATCGAACCCGCTGTCCTGCGTCGCCCACTTTCTCCAGTTGACGTGCCATCGCCCTGTGCAAGTTGCGGTGTGGTGTGTTTTTCCTGCTCCGCGGGGTGATCCCAGATGCTCCTGGATAGTCTGAATGTTCTGGCGCTGGCCTCGCCAAGAGAAGTGCACAAGACGGAACGATGCTAAGAGATTGCAGGAAACTACTGGCTTTGACTTGCCCTCTGGAGACCGTGCAGACCTCCAAGGGTCGCCGGGACCTACGACTGGAGAGACCACGGCCGCTGGCTTCCTTCAGACGACGACGTCGCCGCCGTCTCGGAAGCCTAGAAATTTACAGCAGGGGCTTAGTGCAAATGACGTCCGAACGAAAACAGCCACTACTGCGAGCAATTGACCAGGAATGTAAGGTGGCAGCGCGACAGACAGGACTAAGGGCCCCGCACTTTTGCAGGATGGACCCTGCCGAACAGGCCTGGCTGCCGTCAGGATGGATCCATGGGGAGGGCCTCGGGGCCCTGCTTTCACTGAGTTTCGCCGACGGTGCCGACGCCCATACCGCCAAGAACTCTGGACGGGGGGCACGGCCGCCAGCCTTGATCCAGAGAAGGTGCGGCCTGAGGGGAAGGCTCGGGGGCAACTCCTGGAGGTCTTCACGGGTGGGGTTCACACCTATTGGGCCAGGTCAAGGGGCGATGACACCGTACCAACACTGTACGATTCTTCAAACCTATGCTGAGACGAACTAAACCGGACTGAGCCTGAGAAGTCCAGAATGGCCGATTGGTCCAGATGAGAACCAACACCAGGGCCGGAGGTTGATTCAACCTCCCAGTAATTGCAACCTCAGCCTTGGGTCCGTGGGGAAACACTTCCTGGATGGTCCCCGAAGCTCTCAATCAGAAGCGACATTCCATCCAGAATCATCGTCTGAACGGCCCTGGGGCCTGGGAGAGGCCTCCACAGGCCCAGAATGGCGAAACGCCCGGGGAAATATTTCCCTCAGGACCCCCCCTCCCTGCATGGCCAGAAAGTGAGAGCGGGACGAGGCTGCAGCGGCGCGGAGGATATTCCACCGTCCGCAGAAGGGATAACCCCTCCCTCCCTCGCGCGTTGCCAAAGGTGTCCCTGGCCCTGGCCCAAGGTGGGTTACCAAGACTTCCCACGATGCCTCCATGATGCCCAGAGGGCCCCAGGGGCGGCAATATTGACACGAAGCGCAAATGTCCCAACGTTGTAGTTTTCCCGCAGCTTGCAGCCCCAAAGGATTTGAACCATTTTGGGGGGGACCACCTTTCCATCCTCTGGGGCCCGGTAGAAAAACCACCGGGGGCGAACAATGACCGATCCCTCACTCCCCCGTCGTGCTTTCGCCACGACGCCAAGGGGGCCTGGGAGACGCCGGTGACATCCTGGGCCAAAAACACCTCTTGAGCAAGCACCAGCCGTCACGGCATCCCTGTATTGAGCAGGGACCTACCACAAACAGTTTTTAGAACCCAAACATGTTCTCATAACAAAGACAATGTCCTTAGAGCATGAAAGTCCGATGTGTTAACAAAAGGCAGCCCCAGTCAGAAATGTTCTAAGAACATTTCGTGCAGACCACAGAAGGTTATTAGAACATTATTTGGTAGGCCTGTAGGCGAGCTGATACGCTTCGCCACTGCTTGACTGTAGGCGTACCACGACATGTTTTAAGACCAAAGTCTAGCAACAAAAACAAATCACTGTTCTTAGAGCATTGCACCGGCCGGTTAAAACAAGGCTGTCACAACCGAACATGCTCTGAGAACATGCCGAATAGAGCACATAACGCTCTCATGACATGATTTGGTGGGCATACTGGCGAGTCAGGACGCTTCGTCACTGCTGGCACCTCTGGCCACCTACAACCTGGCCCCCTCCTCCTTCCTCTCACGCGGCGCGCCCCGCCTCCGAGGGTCCAGCAGGCCATCCTCGCCGCCCGGCCGCGCCGCCGTGCTCTCACGCCTCCGCACCAAGGCCCTGCTGGCCGGCTCACGCGGCCGGCGCTGACGCCAGACTGCTGGCCTCCGGGCCCGGGGCCTCGACCGCAACGGAGCGCCCAGGGACTGCGAAGTAACGCTGCCCGCCGACCTTCACCCAGCGGCCGCTCTGGGCATCCGGCTTTGACGCCAGCCCGCAGTGGCAGTGGCCCAGCTTGTAAAACCACCAGAGTGCGTCCGATGGGCACTCGCAGCCCGGATCCGACACTGCATGGAGGGGGCAACTTCCTGCGTCAGGATTGATGCCTGGTGTGTAAAACTTCCGCATGTTGTCGACTGTATCGAACAGGTCCACGGTACTCGGAGCTACGAGCCACGCAGGGAAATCCTGGTTTAACGGAGTCGCTCGGCTGAACACCAGCGGGAAAATCCACATCATGGCGTCGTCGTGGTGTTTCACGTCGGCGCGGCTGTATGCCTTGTCGTACTCGGTGTCGCGGGTACTTGCCGAGGCACCCTTCGCCGCCGCAGCCTGATACATGAGTTTCTGGAACTCCCGGTACCAGTCGGCAGAAAACTGTTCCAGCACGTCCCGCCGCAACGCGAGCATGCCTTCACCATATGTCTCGTGGACTAACGGGAGCGGCTGCTGCAGTGTGCGCAGCGCGAAACCGAAATCAGGTGGTAAGCCCTCGAACGAACTCGGTTGTCTCAGCACCTGCAAGGGAACAGACCCATCCTTGTAGTTCTCCGTCTTGATCAATCCACCCTTGGCACTCTGATCCCCCCCACAAAATTCTTGGTAGAGGGAATGATGGCTCCATGCCGGGTCGCACCGCACATTCAAATATCGACGGTCGAATGCCCACGGGAAAGACACCGAATCATAAGTCCCATTCCGCGCTAAGTCCACCATGTATCTGACCATCTGATCCATGCGGTCCGGATCATCGTGTATTACGTTGGTCTTCGTTAAGATCTCAACGTCCGAGAAGTTCGGAGCTTTGCGCGCCAAATGCACCGCGTAAGCATGTTCGTTTCGTCCGATGTTCGGGATTTGAATCATCTCATGGATGCCGTTGGGCATAACATTCATCTCACCGAACTTGATATTATCGTTCTTCACGTAAATGGAGAGAGAAACATGCTCGCCCCAATCTCCCCTCATGATCGGATCACAGAACCTCGGGAGATCCGCACCGTCTCGTATGCTGATCACAACATTTACGGTTCCTTTCTTCCTGTTGCTTTCAATGGTCATTGCCTCCTCTCTTCTGGACGCCGTTGTTGCGCGTTTCGCATGCGCATTATCGAAAGCCTCGCCAAAATCTCTGTTGAATGCCTTCTGGTCCATTGGGACATAGGGCCCCCACGGGGACAGAGGCGCTTCTTCAGCATCGTATTCGTCTTCCACGAATCGTGAAAGAGCCGCTGGGTTTGTTCGATCAACAAACAATGAGAGCGTGGATGGCGCACAGCATATGCACACAACTAACAGACTGTAAAAGCAGAACATTACACGAATGATATGGAAGTGTTCGGTCCACAGCTCTGCGATAGCTGACCGGCCCTAGCCACCATCTGCAGATCGAGCCATATCTCTGTATGGACGGTTGAAGATCAAAGAGCACGCTAAACAGCAGACGGCCGACTTCGGAATTCAAGGATTCAAACTTTTGAGAGAACACTTTCTGCCGCTGCTGGCAGGCGGGGGGGAGGAATCATTTTCCGGGGAGGGGTCCGGACCCCCCCTCCCCCCAGGGAAAAAAATCGGGGGGTCCAGAAAGCCCCGCCCCTCCCCCCCCCTGCCGGCGACGACGACGACGACAAACACGACGTTGCCGCTGCTAGCAAACGACAAACGTCGCCGCCGCCAGATAAGGAGGCGGACCACGACGACGATGACGATGACGACGACGACGACGTCGATGGACGACGGACGACGGACGACGACAACGATGCTGACGCCGATGCCATCGCCGACGCCAACGCCGACACCGCCGACGACGCCGACGACGACTACGCCGCCGACGCCGACGACGACGACAACGACGACGACTATCTTGACGACGAAGACGAAGACGAAGACGAAGACGACGAGGACGACGACGCCGACGCCGACGCCGACGCCGACGCCGACGCCGACGACGACGACGACGACGACGACGACGACGACGACCGCCACCGCCAGCAGAGTCGAGTAGGCCTAGATTAGAATATCCGCCACCGTGCATCTGGGACGGAGTGGGCGTGTCCTCCAGTCCGGCCGCTCCCGCCATTCGGGTTGGGCCGTGCGAGACCTCTCTGACTGACAGAGTGTTTGGCACAGTCGTTAGCCCCATTCGCCAGTGCCTGGTCACAAACCTTCCTGAAAGTCCATCCGAGGGGGCCCCACTCTGCCGCCGCCCCCCCCCTTCTTCAAGGTCCGGAACAGCCCGGGGACGACCCAAGAGCGCCCCAAACCGGTCCAAGAGAGCCCCTAGACGGTCCAAGAGAGCCTCCAGACGGTACCAGATCGTTCCAAGACGCCCAAGATGGCCTCCAGACGGAGCAAGACGCCTCCGAGACGCCCCAAGAGGCCTGCAAGAGCACCCCCAAGAGAGCCCCAAGAGACAAAAATCCTTGATTTGCCGATGGCTTTGGAAGGATTTTCGCGTTCTCGCCATTTCGGCTTACCGATGCTCTAAGACGGCCCAAGAGGCCCCCGAGATCGCCCCAAGACGGCCCAACAAGCCCCCAAGAGAGCTCCAAGACAGCCCAAGAGGGCCCCAAGACGGCCCAAGAGGCCCCTGGGACGGCACAAGAGGGGCCCGCCCATAAACTCCCCCGTAGAGGCTCCCGAGAGCCCTCTCGCGAGACCCCAAGAAGCGTCCATGAGGACTCCGACCCAAAACCCACGAGTCACGACTTTCGATGCTGCGCACCACTTCGGTAAACTCCCAGGGAGCGGCCGGTGATGCGCCGCCGGCGTCCTCGATTAGAGTATCCGCCACCGTGCATCTGGGACGGAGTGGGCGTGTCCTCCAGTCCTTTGCCTCATCCTCTGAGCCTCAGTCCTCAGTCCTGACAGTTGCTGAGGGGCCAGAGCCCCACGTTCTCAAATCTACTGGAGCTTGCCGCGTACCCTCTGGGGCTTGTCGTCTGCCCTCTGGGCTCCCCCGCGGATTGTCGCCGGTCCAAGACGACCCCACGACGGGCGAAGAGGGCTCCAGGAGGCTTCCCAAACGGCCGAGGAGAGCCCCGATGCGCCCAGAGATCGGCCTCAGACGCACAAGACGGCCGCAAGAGGGCCCAAGAGGCCTCCAAGACAGCCCCTGAGGCCTCCAAGAGGCCTCCCAAGAAGGCCCCAAGATGCCCAAAACATTGATCCCCTTGTTTTTCTTTTATCGATATGTATGTAATGCTTTCTTGTCTTTTCGGCTCTCCGACGCTCCAAGACGGCCCAAGCCCCAAGACGGCCCACGCCGCGCCCTAGACAGCCCCCAGGGAGGCCCAAGAAAGCGCCAAGACGGCGCAAGAGGCTCCCAAAACAGTCAAGGATGGCCCCAAGACGATGTCCAAAGAGGCCCAAAAGCGGAAACACGAACCGAAAATCCTAGCTCCCCACAAGAGGCCCCCAATAAGCCCGAAGAAGCCCCAAGGAGGCTCCAAGAGGCGCCCAGGAGGCCCCCAAGATGTCCCCAGGGCTTTCTCGGGGGCCTCTTGGAGCCCTCTTGGAAGCCTCTTGGGGCCCTCCTTGGGTCCGTCTTGGGGCCCTCTTGGGCCGTCTAGGGGCCCTATTGGATTGTGTTCGGTCCCTTTTGGGGGCCTTCGGGGCCGTCTTGGGACATCTTTACGGCCTCTTGGGCCGTCTTGGACCGTTCTGGGCCAGAAAAAGGAAAACCCGAAACACCTTCAACAACCTTCGGAGCATGCATGTTTTTGGGCACCTGGGGCCCTCTCGGGAGCCGTCTTCAGGGCCTCTGGAGCCGTCTTGAGGCTCTCTCTGACGGTCTGGAGGCGACCTGAGGCCATCTTGAAAAGCTCTTGGGCGGTCTTGGGCTCTCTTCGAGTGCTCTTGGGTCGTCTTGGGGCCATCTTGGACTTCTCTTCGGGGGTTCTTGGGCCGTCTTAGGAGTGTCGTCTTGGGACTTCTCTTCGGGGTTTCTTGGGCCGTCTTAGGAATATCTTGGGCCGTCTTGGACGCTTCTGGGGCCGTCTTAGGGGGGGCCGCGTGTGGAGTTCCCCACCCTACGCCCCTCCCCTGGACCCCTCCCAAGAGGGCTTCGCCCCACCAAAACGTCACCACTCGTACCTCGCTCTTTCTGTCATCTGCCCCTGCGCATGCCACCCCCTTGAACTCCCCCTAATGTCATTTCTTCCGGCTAACAGATCGCACGCGAGGCGCGCTCTCCGTCATCCGCCGCCCTCTATTGCTATATTTCACGGGTGCCTGGCGTGCTGTGAACCCTACCGCTTTTGGTTTCGGTCCTCATTCAAGAGAAACTCCCCCTGGGACGTCGGTCCAGCGCGCCGGCCACCCGGAAAGCCGCCGAAAATGTACAGGCCGTGGGTGTTCGGGCCGTCGATGGCGTCCAAAACGGCCAAGAGACGGCCAAGATGGCCTCCAAATTCGCCCAAGATTGTCCAATATGGCCTCCAAGACGGCCCAAGAGTGTCCAAGATCTCTCCACGTCGGCCCAAGAAGCCACTAAGACAGCGCAAGCTGGCCTAGACGGCCCCAGAGGCCTCCAAGAGGCCTCCAAGAGGCCCAAGAGGCCTCCAAGAGGGCCGATAGAGGCCAACAGCATCGACGTTCCTCAGAATTTCCGAAGGATTTTGATGTTTGCTTCTTTTCCGCACTCCGACGGCCCAAGACGGCCCAAGACGGCCCCCAAGGTCGCCCCAAGATCGCCCAGCAGGCCTCCAAGAAGGCCCCGTGACGGTCCAAGAGGCCCCCAAGAAGGCCCCAACGTTCCCAAGACGGCCCGAGAGGGCTCCAACCGCCCAGACTGGCCTCCAAGCGACCCAAGAGGGCCCCGAATCGGTTCAGAGAGGCCCCCAAGACGGCTCCCGACGGCGTCAGGCGGGCCAGGAACGCTCGAAGACGGCCAAAGAGACCCCCAAGAAGGCCCCGAAGGCTCCCAAGAGGCCCCAGGAGGCCTCCAAGACGCCCCCAAGAAGATCCCAGGAGGCCCCAAGAATTCCCCAAGGGGCTCCCTAGAGGCCTCCTCCTTCTACTCCTCCTATCCCTCCTCCTCATCCTCCCTCTCCTGATCCTCCCTTTCATCCTCCCCCAAAGGTTTCTCCAAGAGTTTCCCGAGCGGCTCGAGGAACACATAGTCCGATAGCTTGGCCAAGCTGGGGCCCAACGTTTAGCCACAAAGGCGCTTCCCAAAAGGCAGGGGGCGGCGGTGATTCGCAGTAGGCGTCTGCGATAATATGAGTAGACTAGAGTAGAGCAGAGTAGAGTAGAATAGAATAGAATCGAATAGAGTAGAATGGGATACGGTAGGGTAGAGTAGAGCAGGGTAGAGCAAGGATATGTAGATCATATTAGCGTAGAGTAGAGCCGAGTAGAGACACATATATGGATAGAGTAAAGCAGAAATATAGCAGACCTGAATAGAGTAGGAGTAGAATAAGGGCAACATAGACACGAACAGCGTATTGCGTAGCACCCCGCAATTGCGGATAAGAGTGAGGCGGCGGGCGCGGGCGACGCGGGCGTCGTCGAGCCGGCGGACCTCGTGGCCCCCACCTTCCCTGTCGATGGCGCTCTCCTCCTCCTCCTCCTCCTCCTCCTCCTCCTCCTCGTCCTCGTCCTCGTCCTCATCGTCATCGTCCTCCTCCTCCTCCACCTCGTCCTCCTCCTCCTCTTTTTCCTCGTCCTCCCTCTCCCCCCCTCGTCCTTTCATCATCGTCCTCCCATTGTCGTCCTCCCCCTCATCGGCCTCCATCATCGTCCTCCCATTGTTCATCCTCCTCCCCCTCCTCGTCCTCCTCCTCCCCCTCCTCCCCCTCCTCCCCCTCCTCCTTCCCCTCCTCCCCCTCGGCATTGGTTTGTTCAGTGAACGTGGTTTGGGTCGCGGGTGGGTCGCGGGCTCTCCACCTCCACCTGGAAGGAATGCAAAAGCAGCCCGCCGCAGGCGCCAACAAAAATTGGTTTGTACACTGAACGTGGTGTGGGTCGCGGATGGGCCGCGGGTTCTCCACCGGGAGCGAATGCAAAAGATGCCCGCCGCAGGCGCCGAAACATTTGGTTTGTACCCTGAACGTGGTCGCGGGTGGGCCGCGGGCACTCCACTTGAAACGACTGCAAAAGATGCCCGCCGCAGGCGCCGAAAAATGTGGTTTGTACCCTGAGCGTGGTTTGGGTCGCGAATTGGTCGCAAATTGGTCACGGGGTGGGTCGCGGGCTCTCCACCTGGAAGGAATGCAAAAAAGACCGCCGCAGGCGCCGGAAATTATGGTTTGTACCTTGAACGTTGTTTGTGTTGAAGGTGGGTCGCGGGTGGGTCGCGGGGTGGGTCGCGGGTGGGTCGCGGGTGGGTCGCGGGTGGGTCGCGGGTGGGTCGCTGGTGGGTCGCGGGTGGGGCCGCGGGCGGGTCGCGGGGTGGGTCGCGGGTGGGCGGGGTGGGTCGGGGTGGGTCGCGGGGTGGGTCGCGGGGTGG